CAAATAAAATAAATAAGCCTGAGAATTATATCTGAAGAATTATAGAGAGAAATGCTATGAATCATACTCTATACCTGGCTATGTACATAATTTCTCCCACGGGCAAAAAGTCCGCCTCTCAAGCTGACACTGTCACTTATGATTTTTATGTGTTAGCAGCTTCAATGAATTTCGGTGTTTCCGTTGACATATTTCTAGCAATAAATAAATAAAATTGAAAAGCAAAACCAAAGAAAAATTGAAATATTTGTAGCATGGGGATGGGATAGCCAACCACTAATCATCCCAAATTCAATTAAATATAAGCTCAGAAAAATATGATATCGATAAGCTTGAGATAGAAATTGGCTCAAATTTTATATCAAATTCAGCCCCTCTAAAACTTAAAAGATTTGCTCCCCAAAAAGAAACCAAAAAAAAAAAATAAAATAAATAAATTGAATAGAACTATATTGTCGGATAACGGGACAAGGGAATTTACCTTAGGGCTAAAGGAAGCTCCAATTGTTGAATAACGGGCCAGGGGAATTCACTGTTGCATAGACACTTAAGGTCGCAAGGGTTCACCGTCTCTTGTATTTTCTTTGTGCCTCTGCAAAAGAGAAAAAATATGAATGAGAGAGTAGGTTGAAGATTGCGTGGAGAAGGACAATCGCAGAATTCCGGGGACCAAATCCTTCAAGACGGTGTCCTCTAGTTTCTGCATTCGCCAAAATTATGACATATCACAATGACAACATAAGTAAACTAAGACGCTTACTCAATAGAAACCAGTCAAGTAGAACAAAAAATGAAAAAATATATTCAGTTTGAGGTCGAAAATTTGATCGATCTTCTTCATTTCAGATACTTCTTAACCTTTGATGTGATCCTCAGAAACCCTCTGCTTTTCTTCCCCATTTCATTAATAGGATTTTATATCAATTTTAGATAGAATTTTCTCTAGCCCAAGAATCTAAATAATACATGACCATTTACTTATTACGAATATAAGAGAGGTAAATTAGCTCAAAATGGTGACCAACTCTTGAATCCTAAAACAAAATCGTCAGACCTAAAATTGAAAAAAAAAAAAATCACACATTTCAAAATTGCCTTGCTCGGGAGCTTCTTTATTTGGAAATCAGTCGGGTTGAGAAATGTGACCATGACTGGTTCATCTTCTTGCATTTTATCTTCTGCTAGAGGAAGTCTATCTAACCAAGGATCTTCCTATGCGGTAGCGGTGCTGCATAATTTTTAGAAATGAATTAGGAAATTGTAAAACACTAACCATCACCAATTGCCCATCGAAAATTGTAAGTAAAACAAACAAAGCATATTTTTTATTTAAAGAGGAACAAAGAGAGAATTATTAATAATAATAGAATAAAAGGGTGGCTTTTGCATGTTCCAACATCTACATCTATTGCACTAAAAAAGATTGCCCATTCATAATAACCTCAGTTGTCGACTTCCATAGCATGTGCAGCTTCAGCTTTCGCCAATGGCGTCAGCTTCGTTTTCAGCTTCTTCTTCCCTACTTAAAATCCATTGCCACCCTTCTTCCATTTACTGTTGTTACCATCAACCTAGTCATACAAGAAAAGGTTCTTAGTCATCCACAAATTCAGTACAATAACCTTAAAAAAAGCACACAATTATCATATCATATAAACATACTACACAAAATTACACGAATACGGTTCTTGGTCATACACAAATTCAACAAAGAAAACGAAGAAAAAAGAACACAAATATAGACAGAGTGACAAGGTAAAATTACTTTCATGTTATTTTTATTGGCCTAAAGCTTCTTTTCCTTCTCTTCTTTTTCTTCTGTTTGAAACATATTTCAATAAACAGATAAATTTGCACAAATTTGATACTGATAATCTGCATACACACACACACACACACACAAACCATTCGGACATTTAACATTTAAGATGAGATATTTAATAAATTAAATTACTTCTGAGATCGAAATCTTCTGTCAACTTAAATCGTTCTTCTTCAACTTTCTGGAGCTTCTAACTTGATTCAGACGGGAACGAAAATGAAATTTTGGAAACCCTATTGATTCACAGAGCTCAAAAGGAGGCGGCACCTTGGGCAACTCTGCTCTTTCCGGAAGAGCTTGGGGACGGAGATGTAGTCATGCTTGAGGCCGATGTAGTCGGCAGCGGATGTAGGGAGGCCGAAGGAGAAGTGCAGTTAGAGCGGGAGTAGTGCGCAAACAATGGAGAGACGGGTGGAGGGGGAGGAGGTAGCCCTTGTAGAAGATCTCAACGGTGGGGCAAAGGTCGGCGACAGCGGAGGAGGATTCTTGGGGGGCCTGCGGAGATGATGACCTCCAAATCGAAGAAGAAGGCGTGGTTGGAGGAGGATGGAAGTGTGTAGAAATTGGTGCTGGTTGTGGCGCTTTTGGTGGTGATGAGCCACGGTGGTGGTGGGCGGGGTGGCTAGGTTTGCATTCACGATCTTATCAGAGAGAAATGAGGTTCAGAGGAATGAAGAGATAAGAGGAAATGGGGGGGACAAATTGAGACGTCCGAAATCCTGTTTTTTCGGATTGCTTTTGACAAATGACAACGTGCGCAGACCACCATACAGTGCAATAAGTCGGTCAATGTAAAAGAGATGAAACTCTAAGCAGTGGTCTCCCGTAAAATGAGGGAAGTGACGATTCTGTGACCAATTTAATTAACAATATAAAAATTCAATGGTAAAATTGTAATTAAAGGACAAAAGAAGGATATTTTAGTCCATAAAAGACACGTGTCAATTCGAAAATTGTCCTCCATTGTTTGCCTATATGTATAGTAGAGATTTGAATATGCTAATGTACGGTTTTCGACCTCAGTGATCATTAAGCTTTCGGTGTGCGACCCAAGTAGTGGGTAACTCAGTTTTGGACCTCAGCGGTCATTCGGCTTCCGACGTTCGACCCCAGTGGTGGATCACTCGACTTTCGACCTCAGTGATCATTCGTGTTCGACCCTAGTAGTGGCTCACTTGATTTTCGAACTCAGTGGTCGTTCAGCTCGTGGTGTTCGAGTACAACATTATTGAAACTCAAGATGCAAAAGTACCACATTTAAATAATTATTCAACTAAAGATTCAAATTTTATTTTTAATTTTTACTAATAAAGAAAGTATTATGGATGGATAACACAATAGTACAGGCGGTTAGTGTAAAAAAAAAAAAAAATTCACACCGTAAAATGTGACGTGGCAATGGTAAAGTAGTGGAGCAAGGAATTACACACTATGAAGGTGCTCTCTCTCTCTCTCTCTAGTCTCCAAGCTTACGAAATCCTCACATTTTTCATTTTTGCAAGCTTATCCCATTTTTCCGTTTCCGCTCCTCTGTTTTCCTCTTTCATTTTAGATAGAAAAAAATCCAAAAAAAAAAAATCCAAAAAAAAAAAAGATGAAGACGACGACTTCAGTTGATGGAAAGGTGGAAATTGCTGTCTTCTCGGCGGATTATTGGAGGACCAGCACTGAGCTTGACGGGAAGAAGGAGAAAAATGCTGTGTTCTGACCAAAGGCTGCTTACGGGTAAGGCTTATAACAAACCTGTGTATGGCGATTCAGTGAGTATGTTGAGAAAAATGTTGTTGAGTGTTGGATCTACTACATCTGTTGTAGAGTTTAACAGATTCCTGAGCGATTTGGTGAGAATGAAAGAGATTTCTGTAGTTCTGAAGCTAGTGAATGAAATGCGCGTTGTTGGTGCTCCTGTGGACGAATTCACTATGACAATCGCAATCAATTGCTATTGCTTGAGTGGTAAGGTGGGATATGGGTTTGGGGTGTTGGCTACTTTCTTAAAAATGGGTTTGCAGCCGAAGGAGGCCACATTCACCCCCTCCTGAAGGGTCTTTTCATGTTCGGGCAATTTCGCATGGCTCTGGAGCTGTATAAGGGGATGCTGAAAACGAGGACGTGTAAACCTGACGAGTTAATGATGTCGACGATTGTAAATGGCCTCTCAAAATGCGGGTGTCTCAAGGCTGCCCACGATATGCTGCGTAGATACGAGAACTCAGGGTACAACCCCGACATCTACACCTACAGTGCCCTCATCAACGGCTTTGTCCAGGAAGCTCGAATCGATGACGCACAGGAGGTGATGGCCCAGATGTTGGCCAAAGGGGTCCATCCGGACGTCGTCACGTACACATCCATTTTGTAGGGGTTGAGTCACGTTGGTCGATGGGAGTATGTGAGGGCTTTGCTGGCGAGCATGAGGGATAGGAAAGTGGGTCTGAACGAAGTCGGCTACACCGTACTTGTGGGTGCATGTTGTCGGCAGGGGAGAGTTCGGGAGGGTGAGGGAATCTTGAAGATAATGATTCAGAAAAATCTCTCTCCCACCATGTTCACTTGGACTGCATAACAGGAAGGATACTACTTGACTCGTGACATGATTGAACCAGAGAGTTTATTTAATAAAGAGATGTTGGGACTGCACCTGATTGAGTTCTCCAACATCTTTTTGTTAAATAAGCTCTCCATTTTTTAAATAAGCTCTCCATTTTGATCATGTCATGAGTCAAGGAGTACCCTTCCAACAACGCAACTGAAGTGACCATGTTGGGAGACATATTCGCCTAAATCATTATCTTCAAGATTCCCTCAGCCTCCCTAACATCCCTTCTCGGCAACATGCACCCAAAAGCCCGATGTAGCCGACATTGTTCAGACCCAATTTCCCGTCCCTCATGGTCGCCAACAAAGCCCTCATATCCTTCCATCGTCCGACATCACTCAACCTCGTGATGACGGTCAAGTGGACCCCTTTCATGACCACGACCCCTTGTGCTTCATCTATTCTATCTTCCTGGACAAAGTCGTTGATTAAGGCACTGTAGGTGTAGATGTCGGGGTTATAGCCAGCATTCTCGAATGTACACAACGAATCACTGGCAACCTTGAGCCCACCACATTTACATAGGCCATTCACAATCGTCAAAATCATAAAATTGCGATCCTTATTTTCAATATCCTCTTAAACAGTTGAGTCTTGTCGTTGCCGACTTTCCCGACCATGAAAGGTCTCCTTTCAGGAGGGTGTTGAATGTGGCCTCGTCCGGCTCCAAACCTCTTTTAAAGAAAGAACCCAACATCCCCAACCCATAATCCACCCTACTACTCAAACAATAGCATTTGATGGCTATTGTCATCGTAATCCTTCAAGACTTTTGTTAAACCTCAGCATATTATATATGTACTCCGCATGACTCTTGCTAAAACATCATGATACTACGTAATCTACGACTATTGCGAAACCTCATGATACTACATAGTTGACGATTCTTTAATTGAAGTCATAGATTTTCCTCACCAACAGGATATCAAAAGCACACTTACATAGTCAGAACTCTTTCATAACCATCTCAGAACATCAAACCGGTTTTTAATCAGCAACTCAATAGTAGCAACATCGACCTCGAATCCCGATTCCTTCAATGACCTCAGTATTTGACTTTATCCATATGGCCCAGCAAACTGCACAAGTGTATTGACGCATCACACGTGGCTGTATCGGGATGCGCTTCGTTTATCTGGGCCATCATTTCCAATACGCCCTCAGCCCCCTCCACAATTCCTTTCCAGCAAAAAGCAGCCATCAACATGCTGCACGAGGTCCCATCGAAACATAAATTGTACTCTGCCATTTTTATGGATCAAGGATTTAACGTCTCTCCACCAGCCCGCATCGCACAAAGTTCGAAACATGGAAGCGTAGATGGCGGCAGTTGCCGAAGCCCCCTTTTCGGTTACGTCGAGGGCGTTTTCAGCCATTCCATCCTTGATCAGGTGGGCGACAACCGCAGAATAAGCAAAAGCTTTGGGCTTGAGACGACCCATTTTCTCCAGAAACTCGAGCAAATCAAGGGAGGTGGCGGCTCGGGTGCCGGAGAGCCCCTCGGCCACAGTGACTACCGTGAAATCGTCGGGGTCAAACATTTTCAGAGCCAGGGACTTGGCCAGCAGCTCCTCGGCGTTGGAAGAGAGTCCCCTGATGAGTGTTGAAGGTGACGAGGCTCGATTTCAGGTCGAGCTTGAAGAAGCTGCCGAAGACAGCGAGCCCAAAGTTGGGCCGGTTCAGCAGACAATAGCAGCGGATGGCGATGTTCATGGTGTAACGTTCCTAAGGCGCATTTCGTCGAACAGCTAGATGGCACCCGAGTAGTCCAACTTCCTGACAACGGCGTTCAGTAGTTTGGTGATTGCCACCACCGACGGCCCAATTGCGACTAAGTCGCGGTGGTAGCCAATTACGACGTCGACGTTGACGGAGAAAAAATCTACTCAGATTTATCTCGTGTTTGCATATTATGTGTAATCTATATAGCTACATTCTCCTCCTCATTGAATGAGGGCTAAAAACTTTTTCTAACTAATGATTTAGTAGGCTTGATAGTTAAATGTATTGATTGATAAATAATGATTTTGTTGTAGTCAATTAGTATTGATATTTTTAATTTAATTTAAACATAGATATTTTACTTTTTTTTTTAATATGTGCAAAGTGAATGTTAAATTGAAAATATATTTTATTTTTTATAGTAATTATGAATTTAAAAAATATATTAAATTTTAAAATTTATTTATAAATTCAAGATAACCAAGTTATTTGTAATTTGAAAGATCTTAATAGTTGTCGATTAAAAGACAAATTCTATATGGACTACTCAATTACTTATTGGCTTCATGGATAAATTTATTTAATTAATAAATTATTATTTTATTATCTTTTAATTAGGATTTATCAGAACCTTTAGTTTTTATTTATAAAGGTAGATTTTTTTGTATGATGTTTGAATTCTTTGTAGATGATTAATTTGATAGTGTATACTATAAACTTACAGTTAAAATCTCCCTAAACTATTTCGACTCGATTTAATTTGACACACGATATTAAAAAACATAGTTAGAAAAAGTTCTATCAAATTAAATTCCACCAAATTATAAGAATGTCAGTGCTCGCTACACTAAAATAAAATTGTAAAATTGAGTACAACATTATTAAATCTTGATCCAATCTTGATCCATTACACTTATGAAATTAAACTCAACAAAATTACAAGAATATTAAGGACTCGCTAGATCAATAAAATTGTAACATTGAATATAACATTATTTATGTTGTTGTGTCATCTTATTTATTTATTAGTTTACTTATTTATATTTTTATATTTATACTACATGTATAAAAATTAAAGGTTGTGTATAATAAAAAATAACTAAAGTAAATCCAAATAAATTAGGATGATTTATAGCATCTAATTTGGGATGAAAATTGTATTTCACGACGTATATAAAATATTTTAATATATTATTATAGAACAATTTAATTTAATTTAGATGTTTTTAGACATATTTTTCATGAATATTTCCAAAAAAAAAAAATTATGTGATTTCACACATTTTTTTCAAAATAATAGAACATTTTTAGATTTTCTTTAGGTGTTATATAATACTTTGGTCTTTTTTACCCTGTTAAAATAATACAACATTTTAGATATTTTACACGTGTTATATAATACTTTTAGTTTTATTATTATTATTATTTTTTTTTTTTGATATTTTAGATATACATGTTTTTTAATTTTGTTCTTTTTTACTTAAATGTTTTTCGTATAATTGGTAAATTGTATTACTGTTAACCAATATCTTTAACTATAAATACTATTTAATATAAACTGGTAAATTATTTGTTAACCCATCTTAATATATATATTTCATAAATATTGTCTAATATCTTACATTATTTAACTGATAGTTACAGGGTCCGGCATTACGTACGCTAATCTACAAGTTAAATACAACTCACCTTAAAAATCCAACTACTAATATTAAAAGAACAATATCAGGCCGCAATTCATATTTTGTAAATAGAAGCATCTATATTATATATATATATATGTATATTTGTGCTTAATTAAAAAAAAAAAAAATATATATATATATATATATATATATATATGTATATATAGTATTATTTATCCTTATCCCTCTCCCTTCTAGATTATATATATGCACACGTGTTTTTGAAATTCCTATTATAATTCAACAAGATCTGTTTTATGGTGTCTCTCTTTCATAACAGTTACGCCTGCTCCCCATCAAATTCTCCCATCTCCCTCTCTTTTTTGTGGCCAATCTTTGATTCACACAATCCAAAATATACATACATTCTTCCTAACCACATTATTACACACACACACACACACATACAGCTCCTCCATACTCCATTATTCTTCACTAAGCCATGCACAAGAATCCCCACACAGCCCCAAAACCCAAGTCCAAAATCCGAATAATCCACATTTTCGCGCCGCAGGTGATCAAAACCGATGCCGCCAACTTCAGGGAGCTCGTCCAGAGGCTCACAGGAAAGCCGTCTGACGAAGAGAAGGTCGCCAAGAAGCCAAGGGTGTTAGTCGAGCCCGAGCCGAAAAACGAAAATAGTAGTAATATGATGCTCTGCTCGAACGAGAAAATGGAGATGATGGCCGGATTTCATCATGCAGCAGGGGGAGGAGAAGGGTTTAGAGAGAAGATTAAAGGGGAGGAAGAGATTTGGAGAGACGCTAATACGGGCGGCGGGTTCTTGGAGTTTGATGACGACGACGATGACGTCATCGGTGGTCATCATGGGTTCTTGAAGGAGATTAGCAATGTGGATCAGTTCCCATTTATAGAAGGTACAACTCAAGATGAATGCTTTTGATGGGGGGGTGGGGCATTTAGTTAGTGAGTCTTGGTTTATGAATTAGACGACGTTAATGGCTGAGTTTTTTTTTTTTTTTTTTTTTTTTTTTTTTTAGGGAATCGGTTGGTTTTTTTTGTAGTTTGAACGTGTCGAATCGAATCGAATCGTTCGATTCATTTTTGTTGGTGAGTGTAGGGATGATGAGAGTGGGACTAATTGGGGTGTACTTGTTGTGGGCATTTTTTGATTTTGTAGTGAGAGTGAGACTGTGAGAGTGAGAGATTGTACTGAAATTTTGGCTGCATTTCAATGTTTTTTACTTTGTTATTCAGGAAAACTGAAATATCATTACTTTTTAGGCATCTTTTATTTATGTAATGTATGGTGTTTATTAGTTATCTTGAAATTTTCTTGTAGATTAATAATAGGTTTCAATTTCTTAAAGAAATGAAGTTTTCTTCAAGTTTTGTTCATCATTTACAGTTGCAGTTTACACTGCAGACCTTTCTTTGAAATGGCCCTAAAAGGAAATGAAAACAAGGCATCAAAAACTAACTCTGATAACAACCCTTTCTCATCCATTGAAAAATCTTAAGTTACTTTTGATTCAATGCTCCCTCACCCTCGTCGCATTACACATCGTGCCGTAATAAACATAGACGATGGAAAACATAACAAATGACCAAGAAAAAAAACAGAGTTAGATTATATTGAAACGATCGAGTGAGAAAAATACAAGAGTTTCTTGTCAATTTACTTAATATTCATTGGGGCATCAATTGTGACAAGTATAAATGTGATATCTCTAAAAATTACAAAAAATGAAAAAACTGCAGTTTGGGTTCCTTTCAAGATTGATTCTTCAGCTACCGGTCATACCACGGATGATGGTCCAGGGTCTAATCTGGTGAGTACTTCTGGGATCCCGGCAGTATTCCTTATTATCTGCACAAGATTCATTAATAATAGTATCCATATATATATACACAACTTTTCTATAGTGATGATATTTTGTACACTTTTTATAGCTGAGAAAACGATGATTGAAATTACCAGGATCTCGTCGTCAAGATAAGAAATCATGAATAATCTCTCAAGTGTCCCACCTGAGTTCATGGTGAAGTTCCGAAAGAAGCAGACTTAGAAGGAAGATTAAATTAAAGTTATCACCGGCTTCAGTGTTATCATAGTAATAGTAAGAACAAAGAAATAGCCTTCTTTGCGCTTGATGATACACTAGTAGAATTGTGCAAATTAGTGTTTTACAGTGGATCACCAAAAAAAAAAAAAATATCAGATCTCATATCTCAAAGATTACTCACCAAGAGGGACCTTCATTCCACCGACTAGAATGTCCTTAATAGGAACCGGAAGCTGTTGAACGGTGGTGGCTGCCTGACTTAAAGCACCTTTTAGTTGCTGAGGTACAGATTCTTCGTCAACTTTTGGGGATTCTAATAACCCTTCAATATATTCCTCTTTCATCCGAAGGGGTCCCTCCACGGATAGTTTGCTAGAGACGATGAATTTGCTTTCTATCTGCACTTAATTTTTCTTTTGTTAGCAGGCACAAAACTGACACTAGTTTTAATTGGTTTATTATCAAATCCGGTTAACTGTCGGACATTAGTCCCTTAAACATAGAAATTTTTGAAGAAATTGTTGACTTCATTTCTACTAGTTTCTTTTCTTGCCGTGATTAGAGAACAGCGTTCACTGAAAGATCTTTCCATTTAGACCATTCAAAATGCTTAAGACGAGTTGGTCAATTTAATAAAATTCTTGAAATTAAATGAGGTGCATGGCATCACCGTTATCGCCCAAAGTGGACCAAATTTATCGCCTAATCATGAAGAAAGTATTACCGAGTTTAATAATTTTAAACTTGCTGCAACTTTCGTGTATCCATCCTTGATCACCACATCCACTTTCAATAAATTTGCCAACTCGGGAGGGAACCTCCTGCACCATAATGTAAATTCAAAATGCGAATTATGACTTCTTGAGACTGAAATTCCAGTGTTCATGTCCCATTGGAATCCCATGTATGCTTAATAATCGGCTAGTTGTGTAAAATTTTAATGCACATGATGGGCTGTTAACTCTTGGTTTAGTTACACTGAGTTTCCTTGCATATTTCCCGATAACCTCAAAAAGATATCCACAGGAAAATTATATTCAATCCAACAATATGTTCGACTAATACGATCACAAAAAACCAAATGCAGATGTCAGCTTCTATGCTAACATAACTCATTTTTAGTCAAATTCTTTCATTACTGCTTTTATTTTACTAATACCAACGCCACTTTTAACTTGTGCCAAATTAAGGAATTTCTTCTTAAACTTAAAGCATACTTTTTGCACATTCTCCCTAAACAAACACGGAAGATAAACGCAACTTACTCAAACAGAAAACGAGCTGCAATGAACCCCAAGCTTCCCGATCCAAACCACTCAAAATTCCACCGGCCTTCCAAATAAGGTGATCTGAGTAGCCAGAAAACACAAAAAATAAACACTTCATAAGAGAACCTATCCTATAACAGCATATGACAGAACAGAAACTTAAGATCTAAACAAATATAATAAAGAAAAGAGTTTTACGTCGTTGGTCGAGGCGTAGGACTCAGCCTCTCAAGGCCAACAATTCTCTCATTCACATCAATTCTTTGCATTTCGGTTGTTTTTCCAGTGACCAATGCCCCAAATCCCCCGGCATCTTTGAACTGAACCACATTTGCCAAAACAATATTGATGTAACTAAAGCACAAATTCAAGGTGGCAGGCACACTCATCCTTTAAATCATCTGATTCTTCCCAAGTCATAACACTAGCATACTATGATCAAATCCAAAACATTCCAAAGACAAGCAACTGACATTATCACTGCAAATTCATTGAAGAGCCAACTACATTGTATTTCATTCAAAAAATCAAATTTTTAAGCAAGATACAGCAAGAAACTAAGCAACAAAACAAACCCATCACTAAAATATTCTCAAGAAATCAAAGAATCAATCGAAATTTTTTAGAAACATATTAAAAATCTTATTACAGCAAGAAGTAGAGATTCTTTAGCAGAGAGCCTCTCCATCTCTTTGGCATACACAGCTGAAGAGCCTTGCACGGCCTGCTGCACCATGGCTCTCAACTTTCGGCAATTTTTTCCACTTTTGCCATTTTTGTAACCATTTTCAAGAAAAACTAATTGGGTGGAATGTGGAGAAGACGACGACGCGGGGGGCAAATGGGCTTTGGAAGAGATTGAAAAAGTTTGAACCGAAACTGAACAGGCCATAGAAAACAATCCCAGCAGCTGTGAAAATTTATTTGTATAAAGGAAAACGATCTGAGGAAAAATTGTGAAGAGCAAGAGTGTTGATGTGAGCTGAAGATGGAGCTGAGTGGACGCGATAGCCTCAAGTACATATTTGTGGGTTCAGAAGAATTATTACCAAATGACAGGGACATAATTGTCAGAGGATTTTTCATAATTTATTTTGGATCGAGTTGGATTGGTAGTTTAAGGCTCACAAATCTGATTTTTTACTTATTTTTCTATAAATCGATCCATTAGAGCTCAACTTTGCTCGAATTTGTTTCTCGACTCGTCTCGACTCGATAAGTATAAATTTGAAGCTAATTGGGCTCGAATTTGTTTATCGACTCATCTCGACTCGATAAATATAAATTTGTGTTTGTGTATCATAAGTTCGAACTCGAGTCCATTCGTATATACTTTTACTTGCTATATAATAATTTTAAATCACTTTATACTTTTATATTCACGTACGTAATTATTTTTTTCCAAACTTTTATTTTTATTTATTTTACTTTTTTATTAAATTTTAATTTAATTATTTGTTTAAAGGTTTTATGAAGGCAAAATTATACATCAAGATTGATTTCAATTTATATTATACCATAGTTATACATCTTTCAAAATCTTATTGATTTCACCTTCTTAAATTAACCTCAATGATTTAGTATAAATACCCTACACCCTATCACTCTTTTTCACACACAATTCATCCTAGAGGTAAATATTTTCCTCATCTTTTTTCTTCCTTTTTTTTTTTTTTTTGCATGGTAATAGATTCTGTAGACTTAAATACGCCTCCCCAATACAAAGCCAGCTCCCAGAAAGGTACGCGTTATCACCAATTGAACTTGTCCATACATGTTTTATAATAGCAATACTTATGTGTTAAGTTATGGTTAGATGGTTCGTCGCTTAAGACCGCTAGAAAATCTACCACTATAAAATCTTTTCTTCCTCCAATGACAAAGCGGACTCGAAGGCTCCGAGAATTTAAAAGGTTTGATAGAAACGAGGAAAATACTGTGGGACAGCACATCGCTGCGGTTGCCGAACTGTATCGGAGGGTCCGTAGCTATCAAGTGGCGGACTATCAGGCCGCGGTTAGGCTAGTGGAGACAATACACCCGGAGGTTCAACCACGGGCAAGGATGCTTCTTGATGACCATATGGTGCACGCGTCTACCTCCGGCACCCAACTTCTTGACTATAATATGCAGGGGCTTTGTTCCATCATAGCTCGAAGAGTTCTTGGACGAGGATGAAATAGAATCTGAGGGTGAGGCAAGACCCGAGGATGAGGATACTGAGGAGAGTTCCTGCCTCACCCTCAGATTCTATTTCATCCTCGTCCAGGAACTTTTCGAGCCAATGATGGAACAGGGCTCCTGCATATTGTAGGAAGTCGAGAAGTGGGGTGTCGGAGGTAGACACGTGCACCATATGGTCATCAAGAAGCATCCTTACTCGTGGTTGAACCTCCGAGTGTATTGTCTCCACTAGCCTAACCGAGGCCAGACAGTCCGACACCTGATAGCTACGGACCCTCCGATACAGTTCGGAAACCGCAACGATGTGTTGCCCCACAGTATGTTCCTCGTTTCTCTAAACCTTTCAAATTCTCGGAGCCTTTAAGTTCGCTTTGTCATTGGAGGAAGAAAATATTTTCTAGCGGTCTTAAGCGAACGAACCATCTAACCATAACTCAACATATAAGTATTGCTATTATAAAATATGTATGAGCAAGTTCAATTGGTGAGATGAAAAAAAAAAAAAAAAAAGACGAGGAAAATATTTATCTTTGGGATGAATTGTGTGTGAAAAATAGTCATAGGGTGTAGGGTATTTATACTAAATCATTGAGGCTAATTTAAGAAGGTGAAATCAATAAGATTTTTGAAAGATGTATTACTATGGTATAATATAAATTGAAATCAATCTTGATCCATAATTTGGCCTTCTTACTTGAAAGGAATAATTAAATTAAGAGATTTTATATTTATTTTTTTTTTAAAAAAAAAAGAAAATCTAAGACATATCATGTAACACTAAATATAAGTACAATTCAATATTACACAAGCTAGCATAAGAAAATATATGCCTATAACAAATGTTACCTCGAGCTCTATACTTTGAAGTTCCCAATTTTTTATATAAAATATTTATGTACTTTGATTTATATAGGGCTTGATTGTTTATGAATTCTATTGTAATTGTCTCATTTAAAACTCAAATTTAACTCAGCTTTAACCCAACTTAACTCTTTCAATATTATCAATATAATTAAATAATATCAACCAATCACTATTACACATCACATCAACTTTAAATCACTATTCATCAACTCACATAATTTTAACTAAACATCACTTCCAATCATTTTATCATATTTTTACATCAAATCAACTTTAATTATTTTAATTTAAATATTATTTTAATATATCCACTAACAATTAACCATACTACTTTTTTTTCAAACTTAACTATAGTTAAAAAAAAAAAAAAGTAGTTTTTTACTAGTTTGAATTCATATCCAATCACCCCCATAATTGTTCTCTCTCATGTACTTGTTTCCACATAATAAGTTCTAAACATATGTCCATAGACCTGTTCCGAGCTCCCGATACTCGAGCTGGGGCTCAAGCTTTATCAATTTGGGCCGAGCTTGTCTTATTAACAAAATGAGCTGATAAACGAGCTTGAACTTCAGTTCATTTATCAATATTAAAGAGCCGAGCCGAGTCGAGCTTACAAACAGCTCGTTTTGTTTAACAGACCTTTATGTCCATTAGTTCCCACTATTTCCAACAGCAGTGAGATTGCACTTCATATAACATGACACAGTTCTGTAATAATCCTCTTTTGATATTCAAATGTACAGTGATGACAGGTAACCATGTCAGTGAAGAATACTGTTCCCGATACTCGAGCTGGGGCTCAAGCTTTATCAATTTGGGCCGAGCTTGTCTTATTAACAAAATGAGCTGATAAACGAGCTTGAACTTCAGTTCATTTATCAATAATAAAGAGCCGAGCCGAGTCGAGCTTACAAACAGCTCGTTTTGTTTAACAGACCTTTATGTCCATTAGTTCCCACTATTTCCAACAGCAGTGAGATTGCAGTTCATATAACATGACACAGTTCTGTAATAATCCTCTTTTGATATTCATATGTACAGTGATGACAGGTAACCATGTCAGTGAAGAATACTGTTCCCGATACTCGAGCTGGGGCTCAAGCTTTATCAATTTGGGCCGAGCTTGTCTTATTAACAAAATGAGCTGATAAACGAGCTTGAACTTCAGTTCATTTATCAATATTAAAGAGCCGAGCCGAGTCGAGCTTACAAACAGCTCGTTTTGTTTAACAGACATTTATGTCCATTAGTTCCCACTATTTCCAACAGCAGTGAGATTGCAGTTCATATAACATGACACAGTTCTGTAATAATCCTCTTTTGATATTCAAATGTACAGTGATGACAGGTAACCATATCAGTGAAGAATACTGTTCAGTTAGTACAATTATGCAATTTGTCACCTGCAAGAAGAAGAAGAAGAAGAAGAAGACATAGTGTTCGGCTCTATAAACCTAACAGTCGACTCTACAATATTTTCATCCAGTCGAGGGTTGTAATTCGTCAGCATTTCATATGATGATCGAACGTGTAGGCATTAATCTCCGAAGGGCTTGTACCGGGCCTGTACAAACAGGCATAACAATACTCGCTAAGAAAAAGAACATATTTAAGGAAATATGTTGTCAAGTCATGAGTAATGTATAATCAGAGAGAAAAAAAAAAAAATCAACATTGTTCCGTTGAATTTAGAGTGTGTGAGAAAAGTTACATCTGTAAGTGGCTATTTAGACATTTTTGTGTTCAAAAGATCAAACAAAAGCATTATCAGAAAATTTAAATCTCGACTTGGGTTTTATAAAACACTAGACTTGACTTCATCAAACGAAAATTGACAGTTCCATTTACTATGATGTTTTATTGGATGAATCTGATGATAGCATTAGTGCCTCAAGAAATCACCTTTTGTTTATGATGCCATAGTGAAACTTGGGACGTCCAACCTTAATATCTTCAAAGTACTACATCCACAAGTAATGAAAGCTTATAGTAAGTAATTAATTATACACACAAACTATAGATACATAATTGTGCTCGAGTAAGAAGCAAGGACTCACCAATTTCAACGTGACCAACATCGATGAAAACGCCAAAGAATCAAAAGGAATATCCTCAAGCGCAAAAAACCGGCATTCGGATGATTCTGGACCTGGTGCAAAGTGTGGTCTCTTCAACTTTGCCAGGAAAATAATGTACGTCTGTCCACACGAAGCTAAATGTGTAAAAATATATCACAAAAAGTGCCATTCAAGATTGTCTCATTTTAAATAGAAGGAAAATATGATTCAAAATCATCCACCTTCATATTATTAGTTGATATCTTACAAACTACAATGTCAGTAGCGGCATATTAGTTCAGTAAGCAAGGACGCATTTGTGATTGTTTAAGATAACTGGAAAGTTTAATTATTAGGCTAACGATTGGGAGTTGTATCGTAATTTCATCCAAGGAATGAGGAATCGTTCGTATACTTGGCCGATGAGAGGGATATCCAAATGAGCAAACAGTGACTGAACTTCAACTTCTGCATTTGCTTCCTCCCAAGTTTCCCTAATTGCTCCTTCTGCAGCAGATTCTCCAATCTCCATGTATCCGGCTGGAAGAGTCCTGTACATGCCAGCAATCGAGAAAATAAATTACAACCTTTAAGGGTCATAAAATATTAATTTGGAAAATTTTCCACCTTTTTATTATTTTGGCAAGTTGCAGAAAGATGAGGGGATATCGTTTTTCTTTTTTTTATAAATGATAATATTGGTTCTCATCTGTAACAACAGCTACGAATGTGCAGAAACAGCAGTTCTGTAATATCTATACTCATCTGGAAAAAAATCCAAAGTTTGCAGTAGAAAAATGTTCACCTCTTAAAGAAAAATTTAGTGGAAAATAATGCTTACCAAAGGCCAAATGACGGTTGAATATTGCGTTTACATAGCAGTATCTTGTTTTCATGTTCAATGAGGCAACCAACAACCTATTAAACCAACATAACATCACATCACAAGCTTCTACTTTCTCGCACAACCAAGGCATGAGATAAAACTATAATCTTTTATAGTCTCGTATATCATTCTCCAATGCACATTCTTGTTAACAGCAAACATTTGTAGCAACAGTAACAACCAATCAAGCTAACAATTTAACTCCCAAAGA